ACATGCACAGCAACGAAAGGAAGGATGAAACCACAGTCACGCAAAAGAAAACATGCAAAGGGCTCGAGCCTGCAGAAAATGGCATGCGGAAAGCATACATATCATGATGGCATCACTATGCAACACCTTTCGACTGGTGAAACTGACGAACAAGTACAGTAGGAGCTCTAGGAACTCCGTTGTTGGCTGAGGCACCTCCCGATGAGGAAGTTTGTGGTCAGCACCTTGGGAGCAATGCTTGCGGCAGTCCGTCGACCTTCCCAAGAAGTCCATCGACCGCTTTCTTCCTTTTCGACGAGGTACAACTACGTCTACAACAGTCCGCGGTTTTGTCACTGTCAATGGGTGTGAACAACAAAATCTACAAACAACTTTATAGTTCCTTTGGTTGAACAAATTGTGTCAAACCTTGCCTTGACAGGACCCTTGAATGTCCTAGGTTTGACGAGTTTCTTTCTTGAGTCTGCCGGTCTAGCAGGGTTCATTCTGTTGGGCTGTCCTTGCGGAAACGCCCCACTCTGTTGATGGACTGAATCAAGTGGCCACAATGCAACGGCGACTCTGATGGTGCAAGAACGGCCAGAGATACATGCTGCAGCATGTGCATCGCCCGTTGCATCTTGATAACTGAGAAGCAAGAAACTACATGATCCCACATGAAAATACCGATTAACTCATCAGTGTTGCTCCCCACTGTTCTATCGTGCAAGTGAGAGTGTGGTATCGCTTGCCTTCAAGTTTCAATTCCGGGACATTGCGCAAAGAACGCAGGTAACGAGCCATGTGAGTGAGCATGTGAGTGAGCTCAGCAAGACGAAGCGCATGCTCAGTCTTTCAAGAGTGGATCACCAACATGACGAAACGCCAAATGCTAGAGTGAAACCATCCCACCAATGGCTTTGGACTTTGTTCTTGTTTTTCGCCCAGGGGCCGCCCACAAGCCCTCCTCGTCGCCTCAGTGAGCTTCGCAATCGCTCCGAACAGTGTCCTTTTGAAGCTGACGAGAGGTTTTTGGATGGAAGGGAGTGTCGGAGTGTCTTCACATATGCGGAAAAATGGTTTTTGGGGCGAGACGTTGGTTTTGACTCGCAAGTTGGTGTGGTGGAAGGGAGTGTCTTCTTTTTGGGGTCTTTGTAAGACGGGCCATGGCGGATCGGTGTAAGCTGCATGCAGCGCATGGCAGCAGGTACTTTCCGCTGTCCAAGAAGAGCGGGTGGACAGATCTTTCTAGGTGGAAAAATGAGGGCCGAAGACAACAGAGATCGCCGATCTTTTGCGAAAACCGAGTCGTGTTCATGTTGGCTGGTTCATCACCCTCAATTGGTTTCCTGCAAAATATCCTTTGTTTCGTCCACTCACCTGACTGGGTCGCTAGGTCGGTCGCTGGACAAAGTCGCTGAACTGAACCGGTTGGGCCTAGACATGGTCAAGTTCCTTGGCTTACGACTGCTTAAGGCTCCAGACCTTGTGGCTTAACACCCTTAGGAGAAAATCTTTTCTTCTGGGCCAACACCCTCTTTTGATGATGCAAAGCCATGGAAGCTTGCAACATTGCAGCCGCAAGGTCTTTTGAAGCTACCCCTGATGGCCCGAAAGTTTTAAGCAAAGCGCGCGCAGAAATAGAGTTAATTTTCTGCGCGCGCGGAGCGGTTTTGGCCGCTCGTTTCCTTTGTGACATCGCCAAGCAACCCAGTGCGCACAACAATTCGCATTTCACTTCAATAAGTTTCGGCGCTGAACACGCCGGATCCTGAGAGAGGGTTCGCAAGATCCGACGCCACTTAAAATCCGCGTGGCACAGCAACATCAAAATAGAGCACTCTCCACACGATGTGCCACACACTACATACAACCATGCCACACCCAGCCTCGTATACACCGTGCATGTCACACCCAGCCTCATATACACCGCCGCCCCAGTGGCACGGACTCACCAACATCACAGACGGACTTGGACCATGCGGTGCGCCACACACTACATACAACCATGTCACACCCAGCCTCATAGACACCGCCACTCTTCCTGTTCAAGCCCAAACTCGGGGCTTTCACCGTGCAGGACGTGCAAGCATATGCCCCCCTGCGCGTGCGAGAGGGCACCTTCTCCGGTGGATTGAGCACATCGGTCAGCCGCGCTCCGTAGCGCCGGCGTGGCGACTTGCACCAACCCAGTCTTTCTTTGCGCCTCCAAGTGCAGTTGGCGGTGGCCAGCAAGGGCAAGTCCACGGTAGAACGCCGCACTCACATGCGTTTCTGCCGCGATGCAGCGCCCCTCGTCCAACGCTGCTTGAAATCGGCTTCTACAGCACCCAGTCATGACCAGCAGGAGCAGTCGCAAGACACCACTCCAAGAGCAAGCGGCCAGCTGGCCCATTGCCAACCTCCATGGTGCGGTGTCCATTGTCCATTTGCCTCTGTACTCCCATCCAGTGCGCCCGGCAACACAATCCTGCACCATGCCCAAGGGGCCCCCAACCAAGAAATGATTGTCGCTGCTGCAGACCACCTTGCATGGCTTTGCACCCGGCGTGGCCAGGGCCCCAGACGCCAACTCCAACAGGTTCTCGACCTGATTGGCTAGGGAAGTCAGAGGCCAGCGACACGCCGCATTTACGCCAGCGTGCTTTCCTCCCCCCAGTGGCACGGGCGAGCGGGATTCGCAAAAGGGTCGCACACGCTTCCGTGTTTTCACACACATCCCGTTTTTGGCACCTTTGTGTGCCGAAGGGTGCCGAGATGACCTCCCCTCGGGGGGGGTGAGACTTTCGCACCCCTACCTGCAGGCTTTCGTCGTTTGCTGTGGCCGCCACTGTCTGAACACTACCAACAACTATGCCTCTTGACTTGTGTGTGCAACCACTGCTGGGGGAAGTGAATTGGTCCCAGAGAATTTGAGGGTTTTGGAGGCCAGATTCAGCTTCTGCAGTCCTTCTTCTTTTCTGCAAATGAAGCTTCAAACATGGCTGATCGGAGGGTGAACAATGGATGCTATCAAGACACAAGGGTGTGTCAGCTGCTTTTTTGGGCAACTCTGATGGAGGAGGTTGGAGTTCCTTGAAAACAAAAGACGGTGCATAGAGGTTCTACATAGTTGGAGATCAGCCTCGTCTGAGATCCACTTGTAGGCCTTAATCGGCGACTTGAGGTTCTACATGCAATAGTTAAAGACCAGCCCAGTTCCCTGCCCCTAGTTCTCTGTCGCCAGTTCCAGTTCCCTCCCCAGTTCCCTGTCCCCAGTTCCCTGCCCGCCAGTTCCCTGTCCCAGTCCCCTGCCCCCAGTTCCCTGTCCCCACTTCCCTGTCCCAAGTTCCCTGTCCCCAGTTTGCTGCCCCCAGTTCCCTGCCTCCCAGTTCCCTGCTCCAGTTCCCTGCCCCCAGTTCCCTGTCTCCAGTTCCCTGTCCCAAGTTCCCTGTCCCCAGTTTGCTGCCTCCAGTTCCCTGTCTCCAGTTCTCTGCCCCAGTTCCCCCCCCAGTTCCCTGTCTCAAGTTCCCTGTCCCCAGTTTGCTGCCAGTTCCTTGCCCCCCCAGTTCCCTGCCCCAGTTCCCTGCCCCCACTTCCCTGTCTCCAGCTCCCTGTCCCAAGTTCCCTGTCTCCAGTTTTTTTTTCCACGAGTACGGACGCCGTGTGGGCATGGTGCCCAGGTCATCGTTGAAGGGGAAGAACAGTCTGATGGTGGAGAAAAGAACAAGGAGACCCAACACAACCCAAACCAAACAACCCAAAGCCCACAGGCCAAGTCTCCACCATCATGTAGTCTTTCCTCTGTGCTAGGTGAAACAGGTGAAACGAAAACGAGTGTCTAGAAATGGGCCTGAATTCACGAACGAAAAGCATATCGGCGCAGGTCTGTGCTCTAGCAAAGTCACAAAAAGGCTTCAAAGGGACTTTGCTTCACGATTGCAAGTGACCAGCGGCCACACCACGGTGCGGCAAAATCATGGTCACGATGCAGGTCAGGAGTATCGCAATGCTCCAAAGTCGGCTGCATCCATGTCAAATGGAGTGGCGTAGCTATGCAGCATGCCGTGGAAAAGACCTTTCTTGTGGCACAACCCGTGCAACTGGTTGCACTTACAAGTCCAGTGGCATGTTACCAATCGGTGATCAATCAGTGGCGGCCATAGCAATCGACGAAAGCCTGCAGGTAAAGGTGCGAAAGGGCACCCCCCCCGAAGGGAGGTCAACTCAGCACCCTTTGGCACTCAAAGGTGCCAAATAACAAGCAGAAAGGGGTGTCTTCTAGATCCGTGAAGTGCTGCACCATTGCAAAAGGTGATCGGCTGCGTGCAAGGCCCGTGTGAAACAGGTGAAACTTTGGACAATCCTAGCATGGTATCTGTACCTCTTTGTACAAAATTGGAAATGTCGGACATCAACAAAGGGAACTAAGGTTCCCCCTGGGCATCCTCCATTGCCACTCTCTACCACCCGCCTGTTAGGAACGAGGAGCTAAGGCTCTCATTCCTATTGGCTCACAGCGTTGCAACTGGCGAGAAGAGGTTACTTTGTGCTTGCGCATCTTACTTGCCGTACTCCGCTGTCGGTTAGCTTGTCCCCCATTCCAGCCACAAAGAAATTGCCGGCTCCGGCAGGTCTGAACAGTTTTAGTTCCCTGTCCCCAGTTTGCTGCCCCCAGTTCCTGCCCGCCAGTTCCCCCCCAGTTCCCTGCCCCCAGTTCCCTGTCCCCAGTTCCCTGTCCCAAGTTCCTTGTCTCCAGTTTGCTGCCCCCAGTTCCCTGCCCAAGTTCCCTGTCCCAGTTCCCTGCCCCCAGTTCCCTGTCCAGTTTGCTGTCCCAAGTTCCCTGTCCCCAGTTTGCTGCCCCCAGTTCCCTGCCCCCCCACTTCCCTGTCCCCAGTTCCCTGTCCCAAGTTCCCTGTCCCCTTTTTGCCGCCCCCACGACTTGAGGCTCTACATACAGCAGTTGGAGATCAGCCTCGCCTGAGATCCACCTGTAGGCCTTGATCAGCGACTTGGGGTTCTACATAGTTGGAGATCAGCCTCGTCTGAGATCCACCTGTAGGCCTTGATCAGCGACTTGAGGGCTTACACAGTTGGAGAATAAAATCAGGAAGCATGAAGTGAAAACGCCGCCCTCAAAGATACAATATTAAATCATTAGGGGTTAAGTGAAACGCCGCCCTCAATGATGGCCCCAAGTCAGCTGCTTTGCAGGAGACGATGTTCTGGCAGTTCTGTAACCCAAGCTTTTGTTAATTCATCATTGAGAGCGGCGTTTTCACTTAACCACCAATGATTTAATGCTGCATCTTTGAGGGCGGCGTCTTCACTGCTTGCTTCCTGATTTGACTTGGCGTTTTTTCTTAATGCTTGGTCTGAGATCAGCTGTGTCTGAGATCAGCAAGAACACCATTTTTGAGCACGGTGGTTGTTTTTTCTTAATGCTTGGTCTGAGATCAGCCGAACTCATCCGGACGGATCCGAACACAGACGGACAACAACGAAAACAGACAAAACAGATTCAGAAACTCTCCAATGTCAACTTTCTGCTGGAAAACTGTTCCGGAAAAAGCATTTTTGACAAAGTTCAACTTTCAACAGGCGCAATGCCCAAATCTTCCGTCACCTTTCCGAGCACCAACGGATGAAAAATGCAAGAAACACGCACGATGAGCATACTCCCCTTCTCGAACTGAACGTTCAGCGGTCGGAAGTTCGTCGTCATCGTCGTCTCGAGACAAACCCCTCAACAATGCTGCCTTATCTTCTTCCAAACCAGATACAAGTCCTACAGCATTGCAAAGGTTCAGCCACATCTCGATGAGCTTGCAACTTTTCGTAAGACCGTCGGACGGGTTGGAAACACCTTCCCAGTGTTCCAAGGTCAAGCGACGTCGTCGATGGAGGTACTTCACATAATGTGCTCGCAGTTCCATGTGCTTCACACGTCGAAGTAAACCCTCCATGGTAGAAATGGAAATAGCCGCTTTCCCATC